GTCAAACAATTGAATAGCGAAAGAGAATTTATGGTTGTAGTATGAAGTTCACAATTCGACTGATATGTTGCGTATATGTTAAGCCATATACTAGCAATTCATAAACCATGCCCATTTTTTTAATTGAATTAATTGCATTCATTGCAATTCAAGGTTGGTTTTGCAGCTTCTGCTTCGTTCTTCGTTTGTTTATGAAAAAAAAAATATTTATTCCATACTGCCATACTTATATTATAAACGTGAAAGTTTTTTTTTTTTGTAAAAAGAACTCCCGCATCAGGAATATATCCTGTGCCGCGGGGGACTTTTTACAAACATACACGAAACGGACATTAAGAACACCCAGACTCAGACCAACAATTTGTGGATCACACAACAAAGTGTCGTCCCATTTGGGGATAGAACCTACAACACCCAGCGTAGTAGTAAATAGCGTGGCGACCGCTTAAAACTCTACGCCATCAGTGCAGTCAAGTTAGTTTGTTTGTTTGTTACGCATCAAGCCTAAACCACTGAACCGATTTTGAATATTTAATAGAAAGCTACATTATCAGCGTGTAACATTGACTACTTTTTGCTGCGATAACCGACTTACAGCGGGCTACAAGCTAGTATATTAATATTTGAAATATTAGGCTTATAGTTTTGTTTTGCAGACAGACAGAAGACTCATAATTATAATATTTTGAGCAATTTATTAAACAAAAGTCTAAAATGGATCGTATTCTTATATACTAAATACAAATAAATAAAATTGAAATGTCTGTTTTTAATGTCAAAATAACAGGTTTTATGCTTACATAGTTATTTGCACGATACCTATGCATAAAAAGTTTTAAAGTTTAATTTTTTTTTGTCTGTCTACCCAACCCATTTGTTCCATGTAATCTCGTAAACGGTATTACCGATTTTGATAATATTTTACTACCAGGTAGCTGTCTATATAAGGTCTAACTTAGATTATTTTTCTCTCAAAAAACCCTATAAATTTTTACCCGGTCCGGGAATCGAACCCACTAAGGCAGCGCTTTTCAAACTCAACGCGAACGAAGTCGCGGGCACCAGCTAGTTCATTCGATAAAAATAATGCACTTATAATAATGAGTATGGTATTGTTATGTTTTGACAGTAAAATGGAACGTTTCATACAACACACGACCCTGTAATGGTAGACACCGGTAATCTATCTGAGTTAATGTTAGGCTACGTAGTGACTGATTAGTAGTAAGTACTAGATTAATGTGTCTGTCACAGATATAATTATACTATTGTACAACAATTCTTTTAAGTCAGCAACACAACAACGTCATGATAAAATTTATACTTACTTGCTTAGAATTTAAAATTTATCGTAAATCAAAACTTAGAGAATGACATAGGGGACCTTTTATCGCGTAAAAAGGCTTGAAGGGGTTGAAATTAGGGAAAATAGTTTGTATGGAAGTTTGTCGTTGTCAACCAAACCAAGAAACAGCAGTTTGTATGTGGATCATTTTCAAAATGGCGACCTGAATGGAGGCACTTGGTACGGCAAAAAGTGGACGCTTTTAAAGAGCAGCGCAAAACAGAGTTTACTTTTTTTTTTTTTAAAAAAAGACTACTCCCGCACTAGGATCAACCCTGTGTCGCGGGGGACTTTACAAACATACATGAAACGGACACAAAGAACACCCAGACTGAGAACAACAATTTGTGGATCACACAAAGTGTCGTCCCATGTGGGGATCGGACCCACAACACTCAGCGTAGTAGTAAGCGGCGTGGAGACCGCTTAAACCACTACGCCATCCGTGCAGATAGAGTTAGATCAGAAGCGCGATGCTTTAAAGGCTCGTCCACCAACGGCCATATCCTATAACTGTATCAATGGTGTCCTTACATGTCGCATATGTTCTCGTACATTTGAGCATAAGGTTGGCTACTGCAGTCACCTGAGGGCACATGACAGGGCTAATCATCAGGGCCCTCCAATAGACAGACAGCATTCACCGTAGCCGGAATCGGCAAGGGAGAGGTATAAAGCTAATAAAAATATAATTTAGTAAATTAAAAACTAATTAGTAACGTATAAAAAATTAATCAATGATTTAATCATGCATTTGCATGAACATTTTACAATCGTCAAACAAATTAACGCAGGTATACTAATACGAGTATTTTAAAATATGTCATTAGTCATTCATGTCTCGAAAACATACCAATTAGAATGGCAATCTTTATTAGTATAGGTAATTAATAAGAAATAACATGTGTTCCCGAATTGCTTTTCTATTCACATTGCACTATACTAGAATATTGAATAAGTTGATGGCCTATCACATCACCATCACATCAACAGCCTTTAATAGTCCACTTCTGGATATGGGCTCCTCCTTAGGTTTTGGCCTACAATACCATACTAGCCAGACGGGTTGGTATAGGGTTCGTGTCAAGTTTTCCTTCTCTTTGCAGCGCTATTTTTCTACGTAGTTTGCTTCCTTAGTCGACTCTCACGACACCCACGAGACTAATAGTATTCTCAATCCGCCACCATACGGATGATAGCCTAATTTCAAGATATTTCTGAAATATTTTAGGAAAATATCGGTCGGCAACTGAACATGACTCTTGAACGTCTATGTTCTAGAGTGATCTACACATCTGCAGTAACAACACAACAAGAAATTAATCTATAAAGTATCAGTTGTAAACTCCACCTTTTTTTTTTCCGTGCGGAAATCCCCTCGGATACCACCTATCGGTGGCAAGTCAGACTCGAACCGACTAAAACCGCACGCCGTCTCGGGTACTAATAGCCGGGGAACCACGTATAGTCTAGAAAGGAAGTCCCTGGTGCCCCGACATACCTCGGGCCATCTACAGACGAGTAGACGACCAGCCCCCCCCCCCCCCCCCCCCTGGTGAGAACCCCATGTAAACTCCACCTATCATTCCCATACTAATATCATCACTTAATCTCTTATAATCTTAACGTATAATAAATAAAGAAACTACATATACTTCTACTATGAAAATGTTTAGACTAGCTGAACGTACGAGTTCAGTTACTACGTTACTAACTAGGTCAAAACTTACGTGGTAGAACATAACCTATTCATGAAATAACTGTTTAATTTTACATAGTATACCATAAAGTCGCTTTTTTGTGGTGCACGCTTAAATATTTTAAACTAATCAACGGATTTCAATGCGGTTTTCACCGATAGAGAGTGATTGAAGAGGAAGGTTTATATGTAAAATACATGTAAACGCTGACTAAACATTACGAGATAGACCAAAATAGTGGACTACGGCATTGTATTTCTTAAAAATATCTATAAAAAGTCCGTAATGATGTGATATGTCTATCTCCTAAGGATAACCCACAGTAACTATTTTAAAAATTTAAATTATCTTTTTAATATAATAAAAAGGTTATTTACGAAGCTCTTTAAACTATACATTATTATTCCTATTCAATTAAATACGTTAGATACATTTAATGTAGATTAAAATAAGATATTAGAGGTTTAAAATGCGGGGGCCCAACGACCGTCTAGCCTTACGTCCGTCCTGGGTGTCAGCGGCCGGCAGTATAGGAGCGGGCGGAGCGGGCCTATAAATATTGCATTTAAAGATGTCCTGTAGTATAGTCCTATCATAATAATAGTATAATTAATTACTTCATACTGACAACACATTAGTAGTATTACTTTCAATCTCGTAAACATAACTGAATCTAATAGAGTTGTCTTTACACTATACTTCTAAGTATTTCACCACATTTGATTAACAAATATGTAAATAGAGATCCGTCCGTGTGGTGACGGATTAAGAATACTGATTGTCACCACCCCTTTTCATCCCGTGGGTATCGTAAGAGCCGACTAAGGGAGAAAACTACGTAGAACAACAGCACTGCAGAGAGAAGGAAAACTTGGCACAAACACTATACCAACCCGTCTGGCCAGCGTGGTATACTAGGCCAAAGCCTCCTTTCTAAGGAGAGGCCTATGTCCAGCAGTGGACTATTAAAGGCTGTTGATGAAAAAGGGATACACATACGGAAATCCCTTCAATAATAATAAAAGATTCAATTATCGTCGAAAAGCTGAACGTTCTCTTGAATTGTAGAAAATCTGGATCTTGAAGTCACCTTTAAAATTATAAAAAACCAAATTCATCAAACCGGTCCATTCTGTTAGTATTTGCTATAGCTTACAGACAGACAAACAGGCATATGTGTTGAACTGATGACATCCCTTCTTTGTGTATAACGGGTTCATATACACTGTGATTATGTCTAGCGTGTTCGTAGAGGATTTGTGACTGTAGACACATAAAAATTAAGTTGACTGCACAGATGGCGTAGTGGTTTAAGCGGTCAGCGGTCGGTGGTTTAAGTGTTGTGGGTCCGATCCCCACATGGGACGACACTTTGTGTGATCCACAAATTGTTGTTCTGAGTCTGGGTGTTCTTTGTGTCCGTTTCGTGTGTATGTTTGTAAAGTCCCCCACGACACAGGTTATATTCCTAATGCGGCAGTAGTCTAAAAAACGAACGAAAATGGAAACGAAACACTAATGTTCAAGCAATTCCGTAATAATTAATAATTCCGTTCTTTTTTTCCAATAACTAGATATTTTTATGTCATTTCCACCCTTGCTTTCTCAATAACGAAATTAGCACTTAGCTTTTTATTATTCATGTTTCGTACTATCCCTGCGCATTTCCATTCCTTTCCTTTTATGTGATATACAAGTAATAGCGATCTACCATGAATAAAATGAAAAAAACTGGAAAGCCTTTAAATTTGAAATTTGAAGAAGTATTTAAAATATCAACCACGTCATTACGAATCAATCGCGGTCATCCCGATATCAAACGGGATCGTTTCTGGAAATTACAATTCACTATAATCATTACAACATGTTTAGTTAGCTTCCTGTGTTTGCTCTATTCAATTTTTTGTCATGATATAAAAGCTGGCAAATATGCAGACGCCAGTAAAAATGCAGCAATGGTTATAGTATTCATTACCATTACTCTAAAATACTTTATGTTACTAATACATCAAGCATTTATACAAAATATGATAAAATATATAGAAAGAGATTACAGTGAAGATAATAATTATTCAGAAGAAGATAAAGAAACTATTCTGAAATATGTTAAAAAAGGTGGCAACGTTTGCATATTCTGGCTTTGTGCCGGTTTTGGCACTTGTGTCACATTTCCTTTGAAAGCTTTCGCTTCTATGTTCTATCTTTACTGGAAAGGTGAATTCAGACTTGTACCTATGTTCGAAATTACTTTTCCCGAACCAATAGAAAGCTACAAGAACTCAATTGCAGTATTTTGGATATGGTTTGCGATGACTTTCCTGTTTGACCTTTACGCCACAACTATGAACGTAGGATTTGACCCTATTATACCAATATGTATGTTGCATGTATGTGGCCAAACAGCTTTACTGAGTCGACGTTTAACCAGAATATTCGCTGAAATTGAAGACCCCAAGGAAATACAAGCTCAACTGAGATTCATCATAATAAAAGTGCAGAGTCTTTACGAGTACGTAAAAATCTTTTTTTTTTTTAATATTTTTTTATTTTACTTAGATATTTTATTTAATTGGATACTATTTTAGCTTTATAGGTGGTATCAAGTCATCCTTCGGATTATTATTTGAGGTGAATATGAAATCTACTACTTTTACGCTACCACTTATTGCGTTTCAAATCGTGGAGGTATGTGTTTTACTTATTAATACAGGCTCTTTTTAATAATAATATTAATGTAATAATATTTAAAGCGGGTGGCTATCTAATCCCAGTACGCAGAGCTTGTGGTACAGATCCTAGAATTTTCTACTATTTAAGAACTTAGTAAATTCATAAATATCATACATAAAACAGTACAAATAGATATATTGTTGCATTTTATCTGAGCAGCAATTGTACACAAATAAATAAATTTAAAGTGTCGTCGTCGTAGACGCTTTGCCGCATATCCGGACCGGATAGACTGATATTCCAGAAATTTTCACTTTCATATAGATCATGTGTGGTGACAGATTAAGAATACAGAGTGTCACCACTCCTATTCATTCCAAGGGTGTCATGATAGCCGACTAAGGGAGCAAACTCTGCAGGACAACAGCACTGGAAAGAGTAGGAAAACTTAAAACAAACCCTATACCAACCTGTCTGGCCAGCGTGGCATAGTAGGCGAAAACCTCCTTTCTAAGGAGAGGCCCATGTCCAGCAGTAGACTATCAAAGGCTATTGATGATGATGATAGATAATATAAGCAGGAGAAATATAAGGCTTGATTTTGTAAAAATAATAATTGTTTCGTGCCAAAACTAGAAATATGCGGGCGCTATGAATACGTGAAATAAAAAAATGTGAGTTCTAACTATTATTATTTTAATTATGTTTATGTTTAAGGACATGCGAAATCAGGTGGTAAATATCGAGTTCGTTGTCTTCTTTTGGGCATGTGTAGTACATTTTTTTGTGCCGTGCTACTACAGTGATAAGCTTCTAGAAAAGGTAAGCATTCTAAGCTTTCAGTAAAAAAAAATGCCTTATTATGTAGAAACCAGCAGAATGAAAACTTAAGTATCCTAGTTAAAGGACACTTAATATTTCATTTCAGAAAATAAATCCTTGAAAAATTGATATCTAGTAATGGAAAGTTTTAAAAAATAGGAGACATTTTAAAGTTTCAAAGTTATGCAAAACCTACAAATAAAAGTAAGCCAGAGAAGAAACTGCGGTACGCCGGGGTACTTGTACATAGAAGGGGAAATTCAGAAGAGCCCTTGACAGGGTCATGAATGCGGTGCTGGTGAAGAGAATAGGATCGGTATGCCTATACGGCTTTCCAGTCCTATTCCTACCCCAGTACAAAAACCGATTGGATTCTATTATTATAGCAAAGTAGTATGAAGGCACTTCTACAGCAACATCTTATATATAAAATTCTCTTGTCACAGTGTTTGATGATGATGTTGCACACTAAATTTCATGAGAATCGGTCATGAAATTTAGTGTGCACATCGGGTAGGTCTGAGAATCGGCCAACATCTATTTTTCATACCCCTAAATGGTAAGGGTGACCCATTCCTAATTTTTTTTTTATTTTGCAATACAACGTTTGCCGGGTCAGCTAGTAGAATATAAACAGCAGGGTAAAGAAGTTCGTATCACAGAAACAGGTCGGAGTAGTAATATTAAAAGTGATCTATTTTGTTGCAGAGTGAAATTTTTCGTCAAGAAATATATGCTTCTGGGTGGCAAAAATGTTCAGACGTATCTGTGCGCCACACCATATTATTGATGTTAACAAGAGCTAGAGTGCCAATGGGAGTACGATCTGTATTCTATGAGATGAGCCTTGATACATTTGCCGAGGTAATAGTTATGAAAGGTGACGGAGCGGTCATTGTATTCATGACTAGCCTTTTCAATCGATTTCATTTATTAGTTTAGAAGCATAGAAAACAAACAAGGCTTTACTATTTATAGTTACAGAATAATATTTAACTAAGTTATAGTTTATTCTATAAATAAGGTGATTGTACAACTTCAGGAAAGTTCAAAATGTTTAATACAGAAATCTTTTTTTTGAAAATGAAAAATTGAGCTTCAAAATTGACCGATAAAATTAATGATGATGGGGTGTGGATAATAATGAAACCGTGGACATTTATCACTTACTACTGTTGCTAAAATATCTGAAAATATATTGAAACAATAATTAAATTATTTTAAAATTTCAATATTTTCTCAAAATAAATAACGCTCCTAAAGGTTTACAACATCTTTCGGGAACATTCTTTTGATTAAATTCTAACCAAAAAGATTTTCAAACATGAAACACGGCGATACCATTTCGGACCGGATCTGACAGTTATATCATGCGCACAGCCGAACTCCGTGTCTGTGCCTTTTTTTCAATAGTAATAGATACTTCCGAAAATAGAAATGAAAACCGAAACAGAAAACATGACTTGGGTTTGCATATTGTACTGTAGTAGTATTGAAAAATAAAGATACGATTCCGCTAAATTACACTTTTCTGGCATATACTAATAACAGTAGTTTTCTAAAGAACGCAACTTAAAGGAGCATCATAAATCATGCAATTTTAAAAGGCATAATTTCCGATGAAAATAGGGTACATATTAGATTATTAGCAGGAGTAAAGAAATACTTTGAATGACAATGAAAAGAGCGTATTTCCACAACGATTAACAACGCACTTATGATTCCTGAGTTCGGTGTCCATATCCAGTCCAAAAAGTACTGTTCACGAATAGTAGAAAAAAACAACAACAAGTCATTCATAAGTCTATCTATAACTGCTAGTTAAGCTTTTGATTAAAAATAAGGCAATGTTTGTTGCATATCTAGTAATCATTTAGGTATCATCATCATCAACAGCTTTTAATAGTCCACTGCTGGACATAAACCTATACTTACTATAAACCTCTTTAATATTTGTACCATGGAAAGTACAGCATATAATTGAATTGTTCTTGACAAAACGATTCAAGAGGGAACCAATTAACAAACCTTTCAATATTTAAATTATCTGGATTGTTTATATTCCCTACATTGTGTTCTATACATTTTCCATTGAGATATATATGAGTCACAATCTCAACTAGTTTAGAAGGATCGAATATATTGCTAAAAATATCCTAAAATGTATTAAATGGAAGCAAATTTAACTGATACACTGAGTTTTAGACATGCATGTAATCTATGTATGTAGTGTAGTACTCCCTATGTGTCGATTGTTTAGGCTTATAACTACAATAAAAGAATTTTGAATTAAATTTCTTCCTGTACTAAATTAGACAATAACTATTCCACTCCACATCGTTGCGCAAAATAGGTGTTTCAGGTAAGTTAATCATTCATCAATCCTGCGGCCAGATGGAGTAAAGTAAAGAGATCTGTGTAAAACGGTGATGCGACGAACACCAATAATCATAATGTTGCGTCATATGATTAAATGGTTCGATTGTATGAAATGTGGAGAACAGCGGCATCTAGTATTATTTATTATTAGTTATATTTAGTAGTAATTAACGGACAACTTTTATTTATTATATACCCCGCTCGTAACAATAATAAGTTCACATATCTCACCCACTTCCGTCTAAACGCCATCTAGGCAAAGCCCGTACAATAGCAGCCAGCCATAAACACACCCAGACCAAAGACCGTGATCATCACAGAAATATTTATCCTGAGTGAGAATTAAAACCGCACGCTCAAAAGAATCTAGACTAGGTATGCGTTCGAACCCAACACAGTACACAACTAACATGAACTCAAACAAATCGTTATATCGTATTAATTACATTTAAAATGTAATTACCAACTGAAATAGTATCCGATCTAACTCATTTTATTGAAACTCCTGTAACAAAAGGCAATAAGACTTTTTCCTTACTCCATTAATTTACCTTCTTTCTTTGTCTCATCAAGAGCTGGAGTCAAGTAGACAATATACAATAGTAAAACACAATACGACTAGGTCAAAATCAATTGGGAAAAAGACAAAAAATAGTCGTCATAGTAATGATGTCTTTGTCGAAAGTGTTCATAATTAAGAAAGATTAAAATTAAAATGTAAATTTAATATTTTCAGATGTGCCGCCAAGGTTACGGCATCTTCAATTTGATGAATGCGGCATGGGGGTAGTCGATGAGCTGTAAAATCTAAACTCATCAACGCAATTTAAATATTCTGCATCTGCACATTAAGCACAAATAATTAACTTTGACACCTATCTTTAACTACATCACAAGCATATAGTTATCAAATACGGCTTAAAATTTGTTTACTAATTCTAATAGAACTTACATTGATTTCAGCTGGTTTTAATATATTCATGACTATTAAAATGGTTTTGTTTTGTAACTTGCCTCTTTTGTGTTTGTTTTTTTGTGTGTGAACGCACCTTAAGTCTTCTTATTATAACCGTATAAAATATTGCCATCTGTATATGAAGGTGCTTTACCAATAATGCCACGCAAATTGCCATCTTGATAAGTAGTAGAGCTTAGACCTTGTATCATGGAAGCATAGCCCATGTAATCATCTATTTCGAACATTATTTTCCTTTTTGAAGATGCGTTTAAATGAATACTTTCCCATTGGTTAATTCCATCTATGCCAGAAGGGACTTTGACACCAGCAGTAGAAAATAATGTAGGCAGCCAGTCCTGACTTGTTTAAACTGTTACTCCATACCAGGCCGACCACTCTCACCGCACCCTCAAAGGGGCTCATTTTTAATCCTCGTAGTGGGTGATAGGAGGTGATGAAAGCATAATTTTGATAGTTTTCACTTGTTACTCCTCCAGTTGTGTCTGATACAAACATAATTATAGTGTCTCTTAAAATTCCCTTGTTTGCAACAGCTTTTACTGTCTCCAACGCTATGATCTAACTTTTGCAACATAGCTTAAAATAAAAGAGCACATTTTTATATATTAAAAGTAAAACAGGTTATTGTTAAAGAAAAAAATAAGAAAAAATATTGAAAAATGAAGAATTAAAAAATCACGAGTTTTTTTTTAAATTAAATTGATAATTTAAAAAAATCGTAATAAATATACAAAATCTTATTGATAAACATGTTGTATAGGAAAATCTGAGTTAAAAAGTTTCTTCGATAATTTTAGGAAAGCTTTGTGAAAAACTTTTGCTCAAACATTTTAATATAACTTAAAAAATATAGTTATGCTGTCAATGCGGGCAAATTTTCAATTTTTATTTTTTATTATTCCTTAGGTTTTGTTTCTAGGTTGTGTCAATACATTTACGAGTACTCTTTATATAGTTTAAGGCGGAGCCTCCAAGTTTGAATACTGGTTACTTGCATGAAGCGCATTGTTACCCATCGAACTAGAGGCAGAGATTTTTCGTGTCTCTTTCTTACTGAAAACCATTGAATGACGATTACAATAATAAATACTGTAGGCACTAGGCAATTGTAAAATTTTATTTTCAGTTAAGTTAACAAATATACGACTAGTTTTGTTAACTTTACCTATTTTTTTTTTTGTTTTTTACATTCAACGATCGACGATCTTTACAATGTACAAATACCTACACTCAGGTCTATATAACCGAAGGGGTTGCTAAGAATCAAGGCAAAAAGGGGGGGGGGTATGACCTTTAAGAGGGGACGCCGTTATTAAAGTCATTTTTGCTAACTAAAATTTTTGTCCCCTTAGGATTACTTAAGGACTTAAATTAGGTGGGCGTGCCTTGAATCGGGCACTTTAGAGATTTGATGGAAGAATTTGGAGTGAAATTGTTTATTTATTTCATACATGAGAAACGTACAGTTAGAAATATTAGTAGAAATGACACAAATTAATCATCCAGGAACCAATTATAAGTTATCACTTCTAGTTTCAGACTAACAGAAGTTATTGTAAGCAAATAGGTTAAGAAACAGGAAAAAAAAAGGAATTAACAGACAAACAAGAAAAAAAGAAAATCGCACAGTACTGAAACGCTGAAAATTGAAAGTAAAGGTTTATTGCTTCTATGGATGAATTAGGGGAATGTTAACTATCGCTGAAGCAGTTCGGCAGCGCGTACCTCTCATTTGAATCGGCTGTTGATGAAAAATCTAAGCTCTCTGACAATTCTTTAGAATAGGTAAATAATATAAAAGATCTAACTAATTAAGACAATTCTATATTACAGCCCCTTCAAGCCTTTAAAGAAAGCTTTAAAACATAAAATACAGTTTATATGTATTGGAATATTTTATTTATTTTATTTTATTTTATTTTATTATATTTGGGGAGCTTACGGCTAAATTTACAAAATACATATTATGTTAATTATCTAGATGCCATTTACAAGCTTCCACATGTAGACAGAAAAAAGTGCTGGTATCTATATTAATACATACTAAATAGACTTACACATACATAGATAGTTACAACAGTTTAGGATCTAAAGATATAACATTTTTGAGGTTTCTGGTGCTACTGCAGAAAAGATCTATGAGTTCACTGTGGTTTAGTCTATTAAAAGATCTAGAAACCCTGGGTATGTAGCTGTTATACCGATAATTACTGTGGCAAAATGGAACATGGAGTAGACTACTGGAACGCAAATTTCTGGTGGGCACATTAAGTTTAATATTGCAAAGGACATCAGGACAGTCTAATCTGCTTTGAGCTATATTTAAGAGGAGACAGATATCAGCTATTTTCCTACGGAGAGAAAGAGGCAAAAGATGTAGTTTACTGCATTGCTGTTCGTAATCGAGATGAGGTAGTTTGAACTTAAAACCTAAGTATCTGATAAACCGTTTTTGGATTTTCTCTATGTTATTACTGTAGACATTATAACAGGGATTCCAAATTTGGCTCGAAAACTCGAGATGGCTGCGTACGTAGGCACAGTAGAGAATTTTTATTGTTTTCATATGCTTAAAAGGTCTGGAAACGCGAATTATGAAACCAAGTGCTTTGTAAGCTTTGTCAATAATATGTTCGATGTGCCGGTCAAACAGCAATTTACCGTCGTGTAAAACACCCAGGTCCCTAATCACACTAGTCGCCTGAAGACTACAACCTTTTAATTTGTATGAGAAGATAAAAATATTGCGTTACCGTGATACGATACGATACGATATTGTAAGAACTTTATAGTTTTATCAATTATTTAGACATACCAATGCGCAAGAATAGACAGAAATAATAGAATGAACAAAAATGTATAGCTGAAATTACTGGATGGAAATGGAAATATTATATTATTATATTATTATTTTGGTTGTTTGCACAATACACAACAACAATGATTATAAGAACCAAATTTTAGATGACATAGAGTGCAACAAAGCATAACCACTTTTGTTTTCATTAGAATATATCATTTATATTTAGAGCAGATCTTTTCCAAAATGCATTTGAAGTTGTATAGTATTAAACTTCATTAAGGTGCCTGCAAATTTTATGTCAGCAAATCCATAGAAATACACAATATTTTTGAGCTATTTGGACGATCAAATTGGTTGGTCATGCCATCTTGCCATCAAACTTTGTCACCAAACCATAGACACAGTCAAGTACTGTGACGTATGAACCACTTACTATTATGGCAGTGACTTGGTGAAAAAGTGAAGCTTATAAGTATTTCATAATTTGGGAAAAGTATATATCAGTCTTGGTCACAGTCGACTTCACACCTCGGTTTAGTCAACTGATTTCAAATTAAAAATAATTAAAAAGAATAACTCACTCAGATTATGTGAATATCTGCCGAAGAGTAACGCTGCGCGGGAAGGTGTACATATAGCGTGGCGTGTAAAAGTAATACCTGATGATCCTAACAAGTCTATGTTGGGTGTTGGGATTTGATCAGATCCGTATAAACTGTCATCATTCCATCCCTATCATTAATAAAACTACCAGTAATACAGTACATTGAAGTCCGTAAAAAATGTAGTTACCGTTAACGCTAGGGAAAACATAAAGAGCTCGTTACGTTATGACATTTAAATATGAACTGTGCAAACACTTAACAGAAAACCTTTCCTAAACTACGAATAGATTTACAGCATTTAAAGATTTATAGAACACATTGTTACTAAGCGAGCATTGTTTTTTTTTATCATCATCATGAACGGTTTTTAATCATTCACTACTGGACATAGGCCTCTTCTTAGAAAGGAGGTTTTGACTTATTAGAGCACGGTGACCAGAGGCGTTGGGTTTGTTTCAAGTTTTCCTTTTTCTTTGCAGTGCTGTTGTTATTGGATAATAGGGATGGTGACAGTCCGCTTTCTTAATCCGTAACCACATGGACATTTTGATGGACAGATGAGTCGATTGATGGTAAGTGACTACCTTCGCCCACCTCAAGCTCTGCCCAATTTGGGTCCAGAAGGCCGGGTGTAATATGTGTCAATTATTATTATTATTTAACGGTTTAGATAGGATGTATTTTACCTACACGTATCAGATCTCCTGTACCATGTATTTAAGGGTCAAATAATAACTTTCAGGCCCCCTAATTCTTACTTACTTTTGTCTATTATAAACATGAAAGTGAGTTTGTTTGTTTCTGTGTTGTAAACCACTAAACCGATTTAACAAATCTTTCAAAAACAGAAAACTACATTATCAGCGAGTAACATCGGCTACTTTTTACAGCGATAATGGATATACCAAGCCGAAATATATCAAACCCGGGCGGAACCGCGGGAAGAGCTAGTATACTCATAAAAAGTTGATGCTCGAAAGAATAAACCAGCAAACACAATTATACATTAAAACGAAGAAGAATAAAAGGTATATCTTACCAAATCATCAGCCACAATGAAGACTATATTTGGTTTCTTTACTATAGTAGACTTTAAACTCATTATCACATCACACACATCATCACATCAACAGCCTTTAATAGTCCACTGCTGGACATAAGCCTCTCCTTCCTAAGCCTCCTTCTCCTAAGCCAGAAAGGAGGTTTGGCCTACTATACCACGCTGGCCAGACGGGTTTGTATAGGGTTTCTGTCAAGTTTTCCTTCTTTTTGCAGTGCTGGTGTCCTGCGTTGTTTTGCGCCCTTAGTCGGCTCTTACGACACCCACGGGATGAATTATGGTAGTGACATTCCGTATTCTTAATCCGTCACTACACGGACGGATTAAGAAATAGACTCATTATAGAAACAGCTAATAACCATAACACAATATTATCGAACCTCATGACTAGAATTGTTACTCATACGTTCGACTAAGAGACGAATTTTACCAAATCTATACTACTGCTACATCAACTTGTACATGAAGATACTCAGCCATTAATTAGAAATACTTAGTTCTAATTAAATAGCTAATAAAAAAACTCTGAAGTAAGTAAAATTTACCAATTCAACTTAAGAACGCATTACAAGCAAGTGTCTTATCATTCCTATTTGCATAAAATAGCTATGTTATGTGCTAACAGGAGGTACGTGAATAGAAAAGTTTCTTTGCAATAATATATATATTGCTACTTTCAGAATGATATTAACGTTTTGACAACCGCTCGACAATCAACCGATTCGTATGCGTGAGCCCTTCCACTCTGTAAGCAAACACTCGTATGTGTGTTTGGTTTTTATCTCCTAATCCATCTCTCCAAAATTAACGCTTACCCATAAACAAGTTTCACTTATGATTATGAACACAAATTTGAAAAATTAGGACATTCGCTGAACTATATATCACCAACTTTACCTAAGAATCTATTTAAGTTTTAGTCTTTCGCAAACTGACAAAGACTAAAACTTAATGCTAAGTATTTGTAAAAGACTACGTTATCCCTCTCAGTACACAACCTTGTATGCATTTTTTTTAACCTCTAAGCTGAATACAATATTTACTTTAACGGATACGGTAGCAGGAAACGGTTTAAATATATCGTATTTTGATAATATTTATTTATTTGTTGAGGTGTTTAGATGCGACTGCCAACGTCAGCCTATTCAAAACCGGAACATTAGAAAAGGCATCACATTTAACATTTAACTGGTGCGTTAACCTTTTTAAGTTTTTTCCCATTGGTTACAATTTACCTTAAAAAGTGTTCAAAGTAGGGTCCTAAGTTACACAAATGTTACAGCTATAATAGTAAAAAATATTTAAGTGATTGAAAGGTGGATGCAATAAAATATTTTCGGTGTTTGACTGTTATGGATTGAAACATAAAACCTAGCTTTGATAAGTTTCCTTGCGGAGAAAGCAAACATATAAAGATTAGTACAAGGCAAGTAACCTTTTTTATCGGAACTTTGAAACAGTATAATAGGATAGATGCAATACAAAAATATAGGCAATATAACCTTCATATTATATGATATTATGTATCTAAAATGCAATTTTGATGCCTGACGTAGATTTCTCACAAATGATGTTATAATTCTTTTGTTTTAAAGACAACCAATTAACAAATTAGAATTAATTATTACCTTCTGATAACATTGCAAGAAGATTGGCAACATTGCTACGTTCAATGGCAATGCTTATTCTTCGTGCTAAACAAAGGCCATGATAATAACCAATTAACATTTACAATTAACATTTTATTACAGTTTACAATTTATTTTCGTTCACCTATTTTATAATGTTTATTTATACATGGTTTATGAACGACCCTTTTAAAACCAACAAAATACGAAACCTATGTTTGTATGGAGTGTAGAGGCAAGGAGGACCATCTCATATGGGGGAAAGTTGAAAAATACTGAAAATAGAGGTCGCTAGCGTGCGAATAACTACGATATGAACATAGTTGTTGTAGACGGAGTGAAGTGTGCCGAGTTAAAATATTTTAATACTTTTATTGTCTAAAAGTTAGTAAGTTTGTCTGTAAAAGTCATTGACTATTTTTGCAGTCTAAGTAAACATATTTAAGCGAATATAAATTAATCCTGGTATACCATACCGCCACCCTTATTGGACTCGTTTTTACGGACACTTCATACCCAGAGACAATATTATATAATAATTTATACCATACACAAAAATTTATTAATAAAAAGATAAGTTTTACATTAAGCGATTCAAATTGAAATACTAAATTATTTACAGCGCGCTAACGAGATAGGTTAGTATGTGACGGTACATAACGATATTTTTAATCAACAAAGTCAAATCATGCAACTGAATTGGTGTACAATTACTCAATCGCCGAAGGACAAACGCTTACCGATGCCCACGATACTTACGGTGCCGCTTATGTTACCATTCCTATACCTCTTTTTTGTCGTATGGGTACCCCCCTCAGGGCATCACCTATCGTGGGCTCTCGGTGGAGTGGTGTGTTAGAATTGAGCTGATCAAAATCACATACAATGACGATTGCGTGCGTTGCATCTTCGAGATACAATGGCTTAGATCCGGGTAGGATGCTCGCCGTTTTGCGAGGAAACCGTGCAATATCCCCTTATGACTAATAGCCGTCCCTTGTAGAGGTCGCCGCGATATGGCTGCATCGCGGACAGTCAGGGTCTCAGACCAAATAGGGACATGTTTAGTTTATAATGACCAATAATCAGATACGCACTATTTATAACATTCTACATAGTCTGTATAGTAATAGATTTGACTGCAGAGCCATCACAAATGAAGTATGTTACACTGTACCCAGAACAGTCCATCGGCGAAGTGTGCGCCAATACCAATTTTTTGACACAACATCATGCAGGATTCCCGTGTCCGTATACCTCTTAGACCTCCTACCTACCTCGTATACCTCACGACTTTTAGTGACGTACAACAAATATTTCATAGACAATGATATCTTTGCTTTCTCTAATTACCAATTTGAAAGTCACGCCATTGAATTATTAACCGCCTTGGCAACTGAATAAAATATGAATATTTTGTTTTATGATGTATTGTTTTGATCTGAATATCAATATATTGTATGATAGTTTTATGTACGCGTATTTGATATTATAACTACTAACAAACTTTAACCAATATGCACCTACCTTATGTTCTCTCTGCATCACCCAAAGGTTGACTGGTAGAGAATGCCTTAGGCATTAAGTCCGCCAATGCACCAAATGTGCATGATGTGTAAATAAATAAATATTGTATCGTACTTGTACATATACATCTACATGTACCTAGTTTATGTATTTAAATATCTGCGTTCATTCGCATTTGTAATAATGTTCTGATCTGCTTCTTCTATACACATATGAATTTGCTTTTATTAATTATAAATTATAAAGTCCGTGTGGTGACGGATTAAGAAAACAGAGTGTCACCACCCCTATTCATCCCATGGGTATCGTAAGAGGCGACTAAGGGAGCAAACTAGCAGGACAACAGCACTGCAGAGAGAAGGAAATCTTGACACAAACCCTAAACAAACTCGTCTGGCCAGCGTGGTATAGTAGGCTAAAACCTCCTTTCTAAGGAGAGGCCTATGTCCAGCAGCGGACTAGTAAAGGCTGTTAAATTCTACCACAATCACACAACGTCATCTAGTCCCAAACTAAACAGAGCTTGTACTGTGGTTAGTAGACAACTCCCCTCTTGCGCGGGTCTGTGATATCTGAGGCTATGCCGGTAGAGTCACTTATGCACTTAAGGATACTCGGTGGGGCCTTTCTTGGGTCACCGATAGTTGCTCCACTGTTCAAAGCGGAGGAACGACGACGGGTTCGGTGAGCACTTACACTGCCACCGAGCAGGCTACGGGGACTGTGTCTCCTTGCAACCGTTGGCACATCGAATCATCAATAAAATTGATCCTATACATCTCTTCCATCTTTGGACTTAGCTATATTTGTAACATCATTTGTTACTCGAGTTCTTTAGGAAAATATCAGAGACAGTAAATAAAACACAGATTGAAAACAAAAACACGCAATGTAATTAAATTTTATTTCTATTAATTAAGGTATTCAATCAACAGATGTTACTGGTAGAAACCGTGGCTTGTAAAACTAATACCTTTAGACAAATTTAGGAATAATACATTGGATATAACTAACTTGAACAATATAAAAACATTAACATGCATACTACTATCATGTGACACAGCAATGTCTGAACTAAAACTAAGCAGATCTTGGACAATGGCCCTGTGCTATAGGTTCTAGGGTACTGTACGAAACCCGAGCAGGGGAACAACCCCAAAAAAAATCTCACATACGAACTCTGTTATATCTGCATCCGATCACATGTTGTTGAATAATTCAAATATTAGTCATTTTTCACTTAAAAGGGCGTTGCATCTGGTACCCAAGTATTCCACGTAAAGTTATTGGCTTCACGTGGAACCGCTAAAGGATCTCTGTACACCGGGACCTTCCTAGGTATTCTCGTTGCATATTCTTTCTTTAGCAGAATCGTCATCTCCTCCACCAATTCAGGGTGAACCTTAGATAAATCTGTTGTCTCACAAGGATCTTCTATGATATTGTACAAACAAGAGATACCTGTAACAATGACAGAACATTTGAGTACAGAACAAAAAACGGTCACTTAGGAGTCAAACTCGTGCGCCGAGGGTTTCGTACCTACCCAGATTTTACGTAGATTTTCGCGAAAATTTGTAACTACCAAAATTTATCTTAATTTTCAATTTTTTTTATTTTTTGGAATTATTCCTTTTTTTGCCCATATCTTTATATCCTGTTGACTCAAGACCTTGATTTTTATACGCCTGATGGGAACCATAGACTTCAGTATTTGGTATAAATTTCAACTTGCTAGATCCACCCGTTCCTGAGAAAATCGGTGGTAACACACGGACAGACGGACAAGAAAGTGATCTTATAAAGGTTCCTTTTTTACCTTGTGAGGTACGGAACCCTACAAATCATGCCAGTGATATGTAAAACACACCGGCAGCAGATAACTAAACGATTAATTTTGTCTTAAACCCCACTTTGTCCGCTAATTATATTAAATAAATATAGTTTAAAAGTTACAGCAAAAGTAAAATGGAGAATTATGTGTACCTACAGCGTTTTGGGCAAATTTTGTGATGGAGATATGAAATTGGGAATGCTTAACGTTGGCATATTTATAGTATAACTAGCTTGTGCAAGCGGCTCCGCCCTCGTGTTTTTCGATTATCGCGATAAAAAGTTGTCCTTGTCCTTTCTCAAGAATCAAGCCATCTCCATACCAAATTTCATCTGAATCAACGTTATACGGTTATTGACTCCCCACACAAACCTCCACTCCGCTTTTCATCCCATTTTAAAGAATGATTGCTCTAATTAAACTATCCTATATCCTTTTCCGGGACTCAAACTATTTCTATACCAAATTTCATCAAAAGCGGTTTAGCTGTTTAAGCGTGAAGAGGTAACAGACAGACAGACACACTTTCGCATTTATAATATTAGTATGGATATATATTTCACACAGTATAATATCAAACTATGTATATATACGTTGAATACTAATCGTAGAGTAGGAAAATTTCGTCAATACCTTAAAATTTGGAACAGAAGACTAAAACAATTTAACAACATGCAGCTATAAAGTTAAAATTTATGCGATAACGACCAATAGCTGCAACAATAATGTACTGACAGTCTATCTGTACAATGTTAATCCAAGTGATCAACAAAATAAATATGTTCTCTATTTTATTAACCGACTTCAAAGAAAGTATGTTATTCTCTATTGGGCTGGGTATAGTTTTAAGTGTTACGCCGTCGGTTCTGAACGCATTTTATTTTTTAATTGAAACAGTATGCTTCTGGTTGATTTCAGTCCAATTTGATATAAAAATGCCACACAGAAAAGAATATAGTTTATCACAATTTATCATGTTGAAAATTAAATGAAGTCGATTGTATTTTTAAGGTAATCGTAGTAATATTATTATCTAACTTACTATCACTAGGTTGACATATTGAGGTTGAAGTTGAATCACATTCTATTACGGTCTTTCTTCTTAATCGGCTTAAATTGGTAATGTTAAATGGACGGCCAAGTGACTTTAAAACCTTGTACACGGTACTGCTTGATAATGCATCACGGTAATTTGGCTCTTCACCCATTTTCGCCCTTAAATAGGCACCTTGATAATTACTGGTGGCTTCATTAATATTGCCTGTGATTAATTTGAAATCACCCATTATCATAGAAGCAAATCCTGTATAGTCATCAATTTCGTACATTACTGTTCTGTCTGATGCTGCATTTGAGTTAATGTTTTCCCAATGATTTATTCCATCGATACCAGATGGAACCTCTACACCTGCAGCAGTTAACAATGTCGGCAACCAGTCTGAGACATGCATGTAGCCGTTCCAATGGTGATCTGAGTTATTCAAATTGGCACTCCACATAAGTCCTACAACTCTGATACCACCTTCGAATGGAGACGTTTTTAATCCTCTCAAGGGATAATTTGAAGCGAAATTTTGATATTCTCCACTTGTCATGCCACCATTATCAGAAACAAATGTAATTATGGTGTTTTCCAAAATTCCCTTGTCGTAGAGAGCTTTTACTATTTCTCCAACACTGTCATCCAATTTCTTTACCATTGCTAGAAATTAAATACAAAATTTATTTTAGTATGTAAGACACACCCAGAGGCGGACATCAATTATTATTATTGACTACTTCATGATGTGACTGGTCATTTTATGAAAGTTTTACATGATCCAGCTAAAACTAAACCGTTGCATTTAACCATCAACTTTTGATAATGTATTTCCATTTATTACTGATGTTTGTCAATATTAGCTGGATCACAAAATACGATAAATACTTGAAATGGTAGTTTTTCGTGATCCAGAAATAACTGGCCGTAGCAATTAAACGTCAATGATTGATAATATATGTATGTATGTGACGTCATTTTTTAATGTTGAGTCTCTATAATATAAAAGTAAAGGAAGATAATTTTTTGTTTACGACAAGACATTTTGCTGTGTTGTTTTTTTTCTTAATATTCGATGTTAACTAAAACAATTGGACACGCAATAAAAATTATATCATCGCTTCTAACTATAAATATTGCGACTATTTTAATGATTTGACAAATAACTTCATAAAATGGTCGTAAACACCTTGAAGAGGTCAAGTTTAAGATATGGCAGAGACATATAAATACAGTTTGGAATATAATTAGATTTGGAAAAACGTATTTACTATTAATAACACAACAAGATAACACAACAAGAGAAGAACTTTCTAGATGTTTTACCTACCAGCAAATATTCTTCGAGAGACTAACTCAATGTGTCTCATTTGCCTCACGTCTTTTGGCGGTGCCTGCAAAGCTGCAGCTACGTTGCTTGCATGTGGCGCATTGTGGGCTACCATTAAAAACAGCGGCGATGATGTATCGTGCTTTTCTATTACTGAAAACAATTAGCAGATTTTATTATTCGAACAATCAATTTTATTGGGACACTTGCTTCTAGTGCGGACATAGTATATTTTTTTTAGAATAAAATGCACCAAATAATCCATGTCCTGAATACGTAAATATATACATTTTTTTAGTGATTAATTGAATTGTTAAGATTTTATACATACATATTTATAATATTAGTAAGAATTGTTATTATTTCCTTCAAAGGTACATATATTTTTATTCTGTTTTTGAACATTTACGTTCTTCTTAGTGCTGACAGATTAATTTAAAGTTTCGTTTATAACATACGTATTTATCTGACATTAAAACAATATATTTATCGGACTGTACACCGGCGGATACAGTATATAAAGTCATTAAATTACTTCACGTTAAACAATTAAGAAGATAGAGTGCATTAGTTACAATATTATTACTTAAAATAATATTTTCATTATATTACGAGTTTGTACTATTGACTGACAGACTGCTTATGAAGGTACTTATACAAACGAATTCTAGATACACCTAAACACAGGAGGAATGCACCCTGACATAATTATTTATTACGAGTGGTAATCGTTACTGAACATAGTTCGTAACTGAACATAGCAGTCAATATGACACATTACTAGACCAATGGACCCGCAAATTATTTTATTTATTAACATTACTTATTTCTTCTTATGTTGTTCTCATGAAAGTGAGCAATAAAGATCTTTAAACCGGAACCGAATTATCATCATTATCATCGATAGCTTTTAATAGTAGACATAGGCCTCTCTTTAGGAGGTTTTGGCCTACTATAACACGCTGGCGAGATGGATTGACATAGGGTTTGTTTCAAGTTTTCCTTCTCTTTGCAGTGCTGTTGTCCTACTTAGTTAGTCGGCTCTTACGACACCCACTTTAAGAATAGGAGTGGTGTCGCCCGTCACCAAACGGATAGCTTATCCAATAGCTAACTATAATCTATTGACGCCAGTATCAAGTCCAAATAAAAGAGTGAAATGTCTTACTGGATGTCGCATGATCGGTGTACACATCTGTGATGTAACCTTCAACATCCCACGCAGGCGTTAAGTTTCTAAACAAAGGTAGACCGCAGACTGTTCCAACAGGACTGAACTAAAAATAAAATAAAAAGAAATATCATCATCACCTGCCAGACTTTTTCAATATTTTATTTGGGATCGACGCAATATTACAAAGGATTTTGCTGGTTTATTTTATAGCTGGCCTTTTGTCTGTTGCCAGCTCTTACCTAGGCACGTAATTTTTTTCAGAAAGGACAAAATAGGAAAGTATATTAAGGTAAGGAAAACGGGGGCAAAGTATATTAATGTAGGACAAAGGAACTAGAGTCCACAGGTCCACAGGTCTCAGATAGAAAATAAGACTGAGATTGCAGCAATTTGAAAAGGCCAAGGTCACGTACACATAACTCAATCCTGCAACCAGAGAAACCTCTAGGACTTCGGCATATATGGAAATAGGAGAGATCCGGGAACTGCTATTATTAAGACATCCGGACCCAACCACAGTGATACCACAAAAAACCGGTGTTAATCAATCCTCTCGCTGCTTTTACTGAGTGAGGGAGGTTACTTTAGGCCACAACCCTTTCCGCCTGATTCTGAGGGGGAGGGAACTCAAAGAATTGCAACGCGCTTGGGACCCAGTTGCAGGTGACTATAGGCTTGATAGTCTCTTACTTAAGTGACCCATCTGCTCGTTTGCCAATTCTTCTTCTTCTTCTTCTTTAGCCTTAATCGACCAAATATTTGGTGTAGGCCTCCTTTAATCCTCTCCACTTTCCTCTGTCTTGGGCAATTAGGATCCAGTTGCTGCCCGCCACTTTTTTGATGTCATCCTTCCATCTCATCTGTGGTCGCCCTCGAGGTCTTTTCTGGTCCCATGGTCTCCATTCCAACACTCTTTTACACCAAGAGTTTTGCTTTCTCGCTACATGACCAGCCCACTCCCACTTCAACTTTGCTACCCTTTCTACAACGTCTGATACTTTGCTCTGTTTACGAAGCCACGTATTGGTCTTTCTGTCCCTCAATGTCACACCCACCATTTTTCTTTCCATTGCCCTTTGCGCTACTTGTAGTTTATACAGAATGGCTTTTGTCGTAACCCAAGTTTCAGCGCCGTATGTAAGGACTGGTAGTATGCATTGGTCAAAGATCTGAGCCTTTTGTTGTGCTGACAGGTTCATTTTGAATACAAAATTGAGTTTGGAGTAGGCTGCCCACCCCAGTCTGATCCTTCGGTTAATCTCATTCTCCTGGTTCTCTTTTCCCATTTTAATTTCCTGTCCTAGATACACGTACTTGCAAACTCGTTCAATTACTGTCCCATCCACTAATATTTCCGCCGTATCCTCCGATTCTGTGGTCATCACTTTGGTCTTATCGAGATTCATCTCTAGACCTACTTCAGAGGATACCACGTGTAGTTCCTGTATCATGCACTGGAGATCTTGTGGCGTGTCAGCAAATAGGACGATGTCATCTGCATATCTTAAGTTTGTTAGACGTGTACCCATTACAGAGATGCCCTTATCCTGCCAGTTTAGTTTTTTAAATAGGTCCTCGATAACCAGGGTGAAGAGTTTCGGAGACAGGGAATCGCCTTGTCTTACGCCCCTTCTGATCTTTATGGGCCTAGTAGATTGCGGAATTGATACCTTCATAGTTGCGTTTTTGTAGATCTCAGCTATTAGATGGTTGTATCTGTTGTCTACTCTTGCGCTTCTTAACGATCCTTGTACCGCCCAAGCCTCTACGGTATCGAACGCTTTTTTGTAGTCAACGAACGCAAACCATAAGGGCATTTGGTATTCCGTGGCTTTTTCAATGAGCATTCGCATGGTTAGGATATGGTCTACTGTACTGTACCCGCGCCTAAAACCGGCTTGCTCTTCCGGCTGGTAGAAGTCAAGTTTGCTGGTGATTCTTGTATTTTCGAGAGCAATTTATATGTTTGTGATAGTAAACTTATTGGTCTATAGTTGTTCAGGTCGGCTTTACATCCTTTTTAAATAAAATTATGACCATTGCGCTGTTCCATTGTTCCGGAATTTTACCCAGATGAAGGCATTTGTTAAAAAGTATGGCTAGTGATTCTATGAGAGTGTTATCCCCTTCTTTGAGTTGTTCAGGCAAGATTTCGTCGTCTCCTCCTGCTTTACCATTCTTCATCGCAGACAGGGCCAGTTTTATTTCAGCTTTAGTTATGTCAGGGATATCTTCTGACCCGACATTAGTGATTTTAGATTTATTCGTGTTCGGTGGTGCATTTGAGTATGAGGTGTAAAGTGTTGTGTAGTAGTCTTCTATAACCTTTAATAACTTTTTCCTGTCTGCGATCAAGTTTCCTTCCTTATCTTTTAATTTCGTAATTTGTAGGGCACCCGGTTGAAGTTCTCTACAAAATACTTTCGGTCCTTTATATCGTCTGATAACCTCCTCCACTGTCTTTTCTTTGAATTTTTCTATATCTTCTTCTACTTTCTGTCTTGTTTCCCCGCAAAGCTGTTTGAATTCATCTGATCCCTTTAAACCCTCCTTTATCATGTCGCGTCTCTTCTGCAGTAATCCTTCAGTCTCCGCTGATAGTTTTCCTTGACGAGTGCTATTCTTATTCGCTACTTTTAGCGCGGCCTCCATCATGCCTTGGTTAAGCTTTTGATTAAGGGTGTCTATATCAAGGGTCTCAGGTTTTAATTCAGACAGCTTATCTTTTAGATTTGATCGGTATATTTCAGAGTTTATTTGCAATTTGAGTGGGTCTACTTTTCTGGTATTTTTCTTATTCAAGGACATGTATCTCTGCATTTTCGCATTAATAGATATTTTAGCCCTGATGAGGCGGTGGTCGCTCCCTGTATAGAAATTATTTAAAACACTGACGTCCTTCACTAAATGTTTGTGAGAGCAAAATATGTAATCAATTTCATTTCTGTACAGTCCTCCAGGTGACAACCATGTCCATTTCCTTTGCACTCTTTTCTGGTAGAATGAGCTCATGTGGTACAAATTATTTTGCTGTATAAAGTTGATAAGCTTATTTCCTCTTCCGTTCCTATCCCTATAACCAAATTTACCCATAAATGTTTCAGATGGTTCTTGTTGTTTACCAATCTTGGCGTTAAAATCGCCTATTACGAAGGTATACGTTGTCTTTTCAGCATCGCATGCTTTCTGTACATCTTCATAGAACTGATCAATTTGGTCATCTGTTGCTGCAGATGTTGGTGCATATGCTTGGACTATATTTAGAGTAATTTTCTTTGAAATGCTTATGACAGTTTGTACTACTCTCTCTGATGTAGATCCAATTAGAATCCATAGTTTGCCAATTACACCATAAAATAAAATAAATAATGAAACGGGAGTAATAAAATAGATAGAGATTATGAAAGTCAAATCTGACAGAATCTTCAATCGTGTACCTACTCGTAATAGTCCAGGAAACCATCTCGGTGGCCAAATTGAATATCACACGATAGTCACTTCGGCCTCTTGAAGTTGGTAAGAATTCGTTGCGTGATGAACCCACGTGCCACTTCCCAACTAAATAAGTTGCACATTCAGCTTGCTTCAAATATTGAGGTAGTATTTACTCAAGTGAGCCGTCTGTTCGTCTACCATAAATTTAAATAATGGAACAGAGTCAAATAAAATAGAGAGAGATTAATCAAAATGCAATTAACGCTGCACTGCACGGATGGCGTAGTGGTTTAAGCGGTCGCCACGCAACTTTCTATTACGCCGAGTGTTGTGGGTTCAAACCCCACATGGGACAACACTTTGTGTGATCCACAAATTGTTGTTCTGAGTCTGGGTGTACTTTGTGTCTGTTTCATGTATGTTTGTAAAGTCCCCGCGACACAGGATTTATTCCTAGTGCGGGAGTTGTCTTTTTAAAAAATAAAAATAAAAAAATAAATAAATTAAAGTAAAATCTTACAGTTTCTTCAATCGTGTACTCGTAATAGTCAGTGAAACCACCTCGGTGGCCAAAGTGATAATCGAATCCTCTTGAAGTTGGTAAGAATTCGTTGCGTGATGAACCCACGTGCCACTTTCCTACTAAGTAAGTTGCATATCCAGCTTGCTTCAAATATTGAGGTAGTATTTTCTCAGTAACAGGGAGACCTCTATCTTCACTCATTGACAACGGATATCCTTGCATACCTGAGTTCGAAAAAAGAATAGCATGTTATAATAAATAGTCGCGTGTGCGACTACTCTGCTGAGGTCTTGGGATTCCCGGATTGGACCAAATTTATTAATGTTAATGTTAATTTATTAATGTTTGTATGAACTGCAAATATTTGTTTGGAAGATTGGATGCTTTCTATTTATAATGTGTATGCATTTACAATAAAAGTATAAATTATTCTATCAGTTAATCTAGCTTTCATAGCACAAGCTCTGCTTTGTTTGAAACTAGATGACGTTGTGTGTCAGATGTCCGAAAATATTTACCTAATTAAAAAAACATTACAGGATAGTCACTTACCATCAGATGACTATCCTGTATTTTTTATTATTTTAGTGATCATTCTGCTCGTTTGTCCACAAAAAATAATAAAAAAATCCTGTACCAGTTCTGTGTGAATATTTCCCGCTGAGTAGTGCTGAACGGGAAGGTGTACATATAGCATGGCTGTAGTAACGACTAAAGGCAACTCCTGATAGTCCCAACAAGTCTATGTTGGGTGTTGGAATTTGATCAGATCCGTGTAAACTGACATCATTCCATCCCTGTAATTAAAAGTATCATTTGTTTTGGACACGGAGATTTTAAATAGGCTTTAACTATTTTAATTATAATTAATGTACATACACGTACATCAACAGCCTGTAACATCATGACCTCACTAAGCAAATCAATTTCTAATTAAGGATTTTTTTCAAGACCTTGAAAATGCTTTTATTATTTTAAGTTGAATTCTGTTCTAATTAAACTTAAACTTAGTTTTTTTTAACAGCTACATCTAATACGTTCAAGGTAATATTCTACATAGAAGTCGGCCATTGTGGAATGGGTTATCGTCTGCGGTATTTCCGGACCGATACCACCTTCAAGAAAAGAGCGTACTCCTTCCTAAACGGCCGGCAACGCGTTTGTGACGTTCATGGGCGGCGATGGTCACTTTCCATCAGGTGACCCGACTGCTCGTCTGCCCCCTCTAACAAAAAAAAACTACAATGATAAATTTTCATTTAAAGCCAGATGCAACATGTAAAGCCTTGGTAAAGAAAACAAATTAAAATTAAAAATATTAGGTACGGGGGGGGGGGGGGGCAAATAATCTCTGTCAGTGTAAATCAGTTAAATATGTTTTTGTTGTATTTTATAGAGATTTTACTACGGAAGGTTTCAGGCTACGTAACATCTCGCTATGGATACTAGGAGCAGAGTAGTGACCATACCATAGAAAGGCGCTGAACCTTTATTATAATGATAAATTGAAAATCTTACCAAATCATCGGCGATAATAAACACCATATTCGGTTTTTTCATTTTACAAGTTAAACTCGTTGTAGATGTGACCAATAAAAAATATATGATATTTCTGAGCCCCATACTGAAAAAGAAGAACATTGCAGGTTGGTTAATTATCGTGGCTGCTAAATCAGAGGTCGATTCCCACCCAAGACAAATAATTGTGTGATGAGCGCGATCGTTTGTTCTGAGTCCAATTAGAATTTTTGTCAGCAGTCTGGTTACGATAGAATGGGCTCTGCCAAGTTTTGGGATCAGACGGCCTTATGTGATATGTGTGAGGTTTTTATTATACTTTAAACTATAAAACCCCTTAATTTGTAATTACTAGTAATTTGCTAAGTTAAAAAGTAATCCAAAAGTAAATAAACTAGTAGTAAACATAATCAATGAACAACATTGCAATAAAATGTTCAATTAGGTAGTTCACCCATGATAGCGCAACCTAAACTACCTAATAAAACTTATCAGCGCTTACAATCATGTATACATTCAGAGTACCCTGTCGATGACAATAAACTTGGCTATCCTTGAATAAACTTAAATTGGAACATACTATAGCTAGTCTCTCTTTAAATCTTGCAAGCATCTTTTCTTTTTTCTTTATTAAAAACAACTCCCGTATTAGGAATATATATTATATCGCGGGGGACTTTACAAACATACATGAAACGGACACAAAGAACACCCAGACTCAGAACAACAATTTGTGGATCACACAAAGTGTCGTCCTATGTGGGGATCGGACCCATAACACTTAGCGTAGTAGTGAGCGGCGTCGCGACCGCTTAAACCATTACGCCATCCGTGCAGTTTTTATATAATTATCCGTCAGTAAAAACTTTACACTGTTTCACTGAGGAAAATCAATTAACAGCTACATCTAATAATAGATACCTACGTTCAAGGTAAAAATCTACATAAAAGTCGGCCATTGTTATTTTTAATCTGCATTTTCTAGAAAAAACTGTTTTGCACATGTTATGATAAAATTCAACATTTAAGGTATTTACATTTACAATGTTTGTATAGATTAAATTTGTTTGTAATACATGGATCATATCTCTATTTCTATTTATTCATACTTATATTACAAATGTGATAGTGAATTTGTTTCTTTGTATGTTGCGCTTTTACGACTAAACCACTAATCCGATTCTAAACAGACACATTCCACACATTTGTTTCTTTTATATCCTAAATCAACAGCAACAATGATATGTTAAGAAATAGTTTCTAAATACCTAAAAATTTTAGACTATCAGAATACGGAGAATCTTTTAACACCCCTTTTTTTTCTTTTTTCCATGCGGAAATCCCCTCGGATACCACCTATCGGTGGCATGTCGGACTCGAACCGACTAAAACCGCACGCCGTCTCGGGTACTAACAGCCGGGGAACCAGGTATACCCTAGAAAGGAAGGCCCTGACCCCTGATTTAGTATTTGACCTGATATTGAGTTGGAATGTACATAAGTAATCATTCATACATCCACAAATCCATCCATCCATCATATTTATACCAATATACCAATCCATCCATATTTACAAAGGCATATAAACTCACTTGCAGATACACACATATTATTAAAAGCTAGTACATAATAAAGTAATTTAGGATACTATATATTTATTTTAAAAAAACAATAAGCCGCAATGTGTTATTTATCAATTTAAAATCAGTTCAATGTATTCTTGATTTTTCGTGCAAACGTTCCACATCTTTTAGATTAAATCTCTCATCTCTTGTTCTCTCCTTGGAACTACTAGAAACTCTTTGCCTGTTGGTCTAGTGGTTAGTGACCCTGACTGCTACGCCAGAGGTGATGGGTTCGATTCCCACCCAGGACAAATAATTGTGTGCTGAGCACGGTAATTTTTTCTGTGTCTGGGTGTACTTTATTAAAAATATAAACGTGTTCAGAAATATAAATATGTTTATCATGCCTAGTTTGGGAATAGACAGCCGTGTGTGAGATGTGTAAAAATATTATATTATGTATTATTAATATTGTTTATTTATTAGTGTTTACCTAATCGCCTTTTTCAAATTTTATTTTATACTAATTTTAGTTGAATGGTATATAATATATGTGATAATTGAATAACATTTGACAAAGTTTTATTGAAGAAGAATGAACTGTACCTTTTACTGTACACTGTACACTGTAAGTGTACCTTTTAGAAAAAAAAAAAAAAAAAAAAAAAAAAAAAGAACAGTCACCGACAATCTCTATCAGAGCTTAACAACAAAAATAACACCTTCAAAACAATAAAAGACCATAATTATGTCTTAGTCCACGAAACCAAGCACAAAAATCTATGCACTCATACTGTTGTAATGTTTCAAAAACTCACCATTTTTGAATGGTAGTACGCTAAGCTTAATATTATTTTGTTATAGAGACATCTTAATGCGTGTATTTTTTCATTATTGTTATGATGTCTTTAAAAAAAAAAAACTGTAACTTACATACATGTACGTCACACAGCTGCTCGTTTTGTCTCCTAACTATAATAAAAACACATGCACATATGAACACACTTCTATTGAAAATCGTAATACAAAAGTGAAGTCTACACCCAGTATACTATTAAAAAATAGAGTACTATTAAAAAATTTACATCACTATAAGTGTAAAAGTCAGAAGTCAAAATCAGAGCTATTATTCATCCTATATATTTATAACCGACAATAAGGTACTACACAAAACATACCCTTTAAAAAACATATAGGTAATATTGAAATTGCCCCTAGTATAGTGTAATTTCTAGAGCAATATTTTACTATTTTTTTAAGTATTTTGTGTGACTTAGACAAAATTTATGCTTAAATAAAACTGTTTCAGACGTGTTTTATACAACTAGACATTCTAAATAATACCAACCTACGCATCTTTCGAATACCGATAGTTTTATTATGTGGGTGCCCGTAGTACTCATTGCTGCTTTAAATTCTCAGAAAAATATTATTAAAGAAGATAATAAAAATATTAGCATCAAAACAAAAGAAACCACACAAACAGATTTAATTACCTTAATTTGCCTGCTGTTACTACTACGAATATAACTCCAAGAGAGAAACAGTTAAGACCATGTTATACCAAAAATAAATAAACAAATAGTATTTGCATCTATTGCTATATTACACAGCGATACTATAACTGTACCGTGCTATTACCTATTGTACAACACTTCTATCCTTTTGAAAAACGAAAAATACTAATATAGTTATTTAATCTAAATTCACTACAAACTTTGAAGACGCACTGCATTATTTACGTGAAGAAGGAAGTACATAAACTGCTAAATTTACTTTTTTTGCCACGACCCTGAAACTCTAACTAACCTTTTTATATGAAAATTTACGTCACCGATTAACAAAGCATCGCCTATCGCTACAATAAATCCAAGCAATAAGCGCATCGTTACACCTTTGACGTTAAACCTTTACGTAACATTCGAACCCGAAAAAATTACAAATGGATGCTAAAACGATCCATACAATTATATCGCAAAGTCAGCTAAGGACTAAAAGACGGCCAATCTTCGTGCCCAATGAAGTCAATTTCACAGGCGGTTAACCAGTTTTGCGTGCTTCATGCCTTATGAGGTAGTTCATAGTGCTGTGGGAATATCCAATGTGTTTTTTTATATTGTTTCTGAATGAGGTTCCACTATGATCATTAGGATGCTATTTTAGTACACCAGGGCACTAGCGTTCACACCTTTTTTACCGAAAACACCTCAGTTGAGCCTGAATATGAGACTCCATGAGAGAGCCAAACCATGAATGACGAAGGATAATGCCCTCGCTAGACCATCGGAATAGTCGCGCTTGCTTCTTCAGTGTTGTGGGCATACACCTTATCATTTAATTTATTATATATTTTTTTGAATCAAATTTAAATTGTTTTAATCCGAAAACAAAATGTCTCTTGTTTTTCAGGTATTCGACTCATTTTAACTCATCTTGCTAATCTCTGTTTTAGCACATACATAATCCTGTTTATACCGTTTGGCCTGTTTACACAAGTGGTGACAGAAAGGATGTTAGAAATTTCTAATTCTTACCCATACCTGCCTTACCCTAAATTTCAAAATAATAGAAAAGTTATACTCGTAAACCTACCAATCCAAGATCTTTGACAAAGATAGAAGTATGGATATAGGTCTATAGTTACCCACTTCACCCTTATCACCCCTTTTAAAGATCGGTATTACTACTGATATTTTTTTACTTTCTTTATTACTACTGATACTGTCCGTGTAGTGACGGATTAAGAATACGGAATGTCCCTACCCCAATTCATCCCGTGGGTGTCGTAAGAACCGACTAAGGGCGCAAAACAACGCAGGACACCAGCACTGCAAAAAGACGGAAAACTTGACACAAACCCTATACCAACCCGCCTGGCCAGCGTGGTATAGTAGGCCAAAACTTTCTTTCTAAGGAAAGGCCTATGTCCAGCAGTGGACTATTAAAGGCTGTTGATGTGATGTGTGATGTGGGGAAAGTACCAGATCTCATGGCCAGACACTGACACTGACATTGTTACTTATTTATATTAATTAACTCTAACCGTTCAACTCGCAAGTTTCAAATGTATGTGAGAAAGTCACATACAGCATATGCATACAGAAACAGATAACCAGGGCAGCGAAGGCGATCTAGGGCCTTCAACCGGAGGTGATACAGACCATCTACGGTTGAAAGACTCGGAGTCAGGAGGAAAATGAATTTCATCTAGCGTAGTTTTGCTCATAAAATCTGAAAAGCCTATCGTAAGGTCTCTCTCCACTCAGCACTGGTACTGGAGGGGATACTCTCCCTTGACTTTCGCGCTCACCAAACAGCCCTGCTGTACGGGGCCCGGCGGGGGGTCTACTGCCGGGCCTAGAGGGGAGGGAGATCGAACGAATGTCTTCACAATTTTAGAATCCTCATCCCAGGGAACATATGTGCTGGGAGTTCCTAAACCTGGTGACTCGGGAGCAACTAGAGGAAACTCAAGGA